TCCACAGAATGAGCGAAGCGGTGACTTTGTGCGTGAAGTAGTTTGTAATGAGGCGTCTTCTTGACTCTATGTCTTGATCCCGAGCTCAGGTGGGGGGAGAGGGGAGAGTGCCGTAGATGGTGAGCAAGTCTACCCTCACTATAAACTAGTTCATGAGCAAATCGTCGTACCTACTTCACCTTGCTGTGGAGCACACGATGGACATCGTCGGGTAAGGCGATGCGTTTCTCTCCCACTCCGCAGTTAAATCATCCAGTTGCTAATGAAATCAACAGTCTATTCTCAATCAACATTGAGATTTGTGCACGCCTATCCATCTTGAACTGCTACCGTTTTAAGGGAAACAATGCAAAATTGGATTTTCCGCCTGTTTCAGGGCGAAAATTCTGCTGAAAACTGCCAACCTTGACCAAGTTAGGCGAAGGAGAAACTGTCATGCATCAAAGTAGGTAGTTAGGGTAGAAAAATGGGACAAAAAAATTAAAATTCTTAAAAGGAAGATTTTATCCCCTGTACTTGTGAAGGCACTGAACTCCGGAACTAATTCACAAGTTTTCGCCAAAAAACACTACTTAGACGGTGCAGCAGTCATAACGATATACAAGAGGGAGGTCGGAACAGTTATTTTTGCCCCAGACATGTGGCTTACGGTCATTTTAGACTTTCGTACAAAGTGCTTCAAACATAGACAGACAAAGTTTGGAATACGGTTTCGCAGCCGACTTAACTTTTGATGATTTTTGAAAACCTCCTTATATTGTTCCCACCGATAGCTGTCTCGATACTTCGATCCTAAACCAGTCGGAGCCGCTAATGTGGCGTCGGATGTGTGGCATGGGCGATGACTACATTTTTAAAGCCTAACTGATGCGACCATTGAGAGTTGACGTTTGATTAGGGAATGGATAGAAATGACTGACCAAATCATTCGGACTGTAAATGTGGGTCCTCAATCGCTTGCTTTTATCAGAGCTAATTGGATGGAAATTCTTCAAAGTAAGCCATGCGTTGTGGTAGTTGCTTATGAGACCTTCCTTTAAGGGACAAATGAAGTCTCCCCCCTCCAGGTGTTGCTATGGCGGCCAAAGATTTCGAGGACAGCACATACTTAATCCGATAAAGTGCTCAGGAGTAGTTTTCCCTCTACGGAAGAACTGAACTGAGCCGTCAAGACTCATGCCAAACGCCTCGTATGAATATTACAGGAAAAGAGTTTGAAATGTATGAAATATGTTTTACAAGAGATATGTCGATGCCAAGAAAGCATTTCAGGTTGTCTACCGGACACCAAAATGCTTCTCTAAAGGCCTACGCCAACGGATACTAGCAACGGCCGAGGTAGTGGCTATACGGCTAGCGAATCCGGTGTTATGCTGTCAGAAAACCCTTACACAAGCGCTCTCTCTGCCTTGGCCAACGCCAACCTCACGTGACGACGACATGCCGCCTCAAATCTCTAGTGACAGTGATGGGTACTCCGTGTACTTAATCCAAGAACATCACTCAAAGACTCGCTTACCCCCCTCTCCCAGCTCTAAGGGCCAAAACCCAACGACCTCGTCATGCGGGCTGCGTGGGGAAGATGAGTATTAGTGACTTAATTGCCCTTGAGACCCCTATAGGCACTGCTAATTTTGTACATTTTCATTCCTTCATGTAGCTGTATTGACCTGACGAAGAACTACCGAAACCACGTGCTTGCCAACTAGACTTTTCGAGATATGTAAGTAGATTGAACCTAAGAGGAGGGATACGACAATACAAAGGGCATAACGTTGGGTATGTAACCAGTCCGTCTGGAGTGGGAGGTGGTCTCGAAATGTCCGCTAGACTACCGGCTGGGCGGTCTAGCTCTGGGTGTAGCTGTGGGGGGAGGGTCATGGAGATGTGCCGACGGTAGTGAGGATGCAAGCACGAGCGAGAGCGGGAGAGATGTCAGCGGTAGGAATGCAGGAGACAGCGACTATCTTCGACGACGCGCGGCCACACCATCCTCATCCGGGATATCCGTGGAAGTGTCTGCAGTCCACTCGAACAAATCAGTCAGATCCATGGTGCACTGCATTGTCGACTGTCGTTTGTCTGGCCTAGCTACAGGAAGGTTGGAGAAGGTTGGGTCTGAGTCATCTACACAAATAAGCCTACTAGCATGGGCCTGCTCGAGACAGTAGGAGGGATAGTCAGGACTCTGGAACTAGCCCATTTTCGTGTGCAACTGCGTAGGCACGGGGAGGTTAAAAAAACTGTTTAGGTAGGGTGTGGGTGAGGCCGAAGCCCCCCTAAAGGCCTGCTCCCAGACGCGGGGGATGTTAATCGACTCTGAATAAACGTGGACGATCCAACTTTTTATGAGATGAAGACTTAACACGTAAAATTGAACGTACCAGCGGGTAACGGTGCATAAGAAACAGTGCTTGGCGTAACTCTACTGAACTGTACAGAAGCCTACATTTGCCACATATTGCTGGCCAAACCTGACTTGTGGGGTGCACATGCAATAGTCAAGCCCTGCACTGGGTTGAATTATATCTCTACGTCGCTTTACGGTGGACGCTGGTGTGTGGTATATAATAATTAGCTGGGGCTGCACCCAGGACTACCTCAATGACTGTTGCCAAACAAATATTTAATTATCAGAAGGGGCCGTATAAATGGCGGAGAACGAGTTTAATTCAAGCTCTCAATATTCACACGCTTCCGGTAGGTTGGATTAAAATGCACTTTAATACTGTTAATTACAGTGAATACGACTGATCACGTAGAGAGAACGCCCTTTTAACTGAAAATACTTGCTGCCGGTTGTTTATAATTCGGACACTGAGTTAAACCCTCAGTATACCAGCCAGAGAAGTATTGCGGACTGGATTTTCCATGAGAAGCAGACTATTCATAAGTCTTATTGGAACGCAGGTCATCCTCACAAGTGTTTAGGCTATCAGAACGGAGGAGACGGAAGAGTGGATGCGATGGGAAAGTTATTTCACGTAACTCTTACACTCGAACCGCACTACCGGCACGGCTTGTTGAAAGTCCATTAGAGCCTGCAAGACCGAGTTTGGTGGGCTGAATATCACCGCATTCATCTGCGTAGGTCGGCGCCATCGCACTCGGCACTCATTTGACGTCGGTTTAAGTGATGGCATTAAGAAAATCAACGTTTAACAGGAGGTTGACTATAGACAGCCTTGTCTTTCTGCGAACCATACTAAGAGGGGTTCTTGCCCACATTTAATAGTGATCGGCGTGTCCGGATTTTATGGTATGTATAATGGGGAAGTGAAAGGGTAGCCACGCTGTCAGTGAACTGACGTGGCAACTTGTTTATACTGTTGATTTAAGAATTCGATTTAGCTGACGATGCTACGTGCCACTGAAGAGTTTAGGATCAAACGGATAAATCATAGTTAAACCTACTTCTTACTGTTGGCAATTTTCATCTTTTTTCGATAAGTACAC